TCATTTTGAGTTGTGCCCCATCAGCAAATGAAGGTCCTGCAGGCTTTTCTCCCACGGGCTTTACTCCAATTGCATCACACAAGATGGCAGATCGGGTAAATGTGCAGTGAGGTGCTCCGTCAGCAACAACACAGAATACCAGACCAAGCAGGTTCAGGGGATGGTGCCAGAATTCTGAACCACATATAAAGGAATATTTAGAAGATTAGAAGGCTTATAGCTAGGGGAATTTGTAGCAGCATCAAGAAATCTAGCGCTTTCTAATTCAAGACACTCATCTGCTCCCGGAGCCGCCAACTTTGGAGAGACCAAGCGGGGGAAGGATCAGAACAGCCACGAACACCTGACAGTACCACAGTGATACAGGTGTGGACATTCTTTTTTTGTATCTGTTTGGTATCTGTTCATTGGTCTCTGTCTGTGCACCTCCATTCTGTTGACTAGAGGGGATGCCTAAGTGAATAGACACCCCACCCCCACCCCTGGAGGGTTCTGCTACACATGCACACAGATCTCCTCGAAATTTAAAGTGACAGTTTCCATTTAAAACTAAAGTGGCCACCACTCATCTGTCAGTTTGTCATACTGTGGTGGCTTGTGAGTTGCTGTGAATCTGAAAGCTATGCCACTGGTATTTTAAATAACCAGCAGGGTCACCCATGGTGAACAGGTTTCAGATGAGCTTCCAGACAAAGACAGACTAGGAAGAAAGAGTGACAAACTACTTCCAAATATTTAGTCACTGAAAACCTTATTAATAGCAGAGAAACACAGTCAGATATAGTGCCAGAAAATGAGCCCCTCAGGTTGGAAGGCATTCAAAATGCGACTGGGGAAGAGCTGCCTCCTCAAAGTAGTTGTTGTTGTTAGGTGCTGTTAAATCAGCTCCAACTTTACGCACAACCTATACACCACAGAATGAAGCACTGCCCCGTCCTGCAACATCCTCACAGTTAGTTTTGTGTGAACCCGTTGCTACAGCCATGTCAATCCACCTCCTTGGATAGGTGGGGGTCTTTCTCTTTTTCACTGATCCTCTCACTTTATCAATCATGATGGCCTTTCCAAGGACTGGTCCCTACTGATAACACGTCCAAATTACTTGAGACAAACCGCCATCCTCTCTTCTAAGCATTCTTGAAAGACAGATTCGCTTGCCCCTCTGGCAGTCTGTGGTATACTCTAAAGTTCTTCACCATCATAATTCAAATGCATTGATTCTTCTTT